AAAGCCTCACAGGACTCAACCTTTTGTTTCTAAATCAGTAGGTATAATATACCTGCTTCAAGACTATTTAAACTTGTCACGAAAACACTTTTCAAAATTTCTCTTTTTTCTCTCTTGCATATGTAACCCTGATCAGCTTCCTTATTCCATATATATTTGCAAAGGTTTTTGCAGGTTTTAGAGTCATACTCAGAAAAGTCCTCCCTGAAACACCTTTGATGACTTTGCAGACATATAATAACATTAAAAACTACAGCTCAAAGTCAAATCTGAATAAATGACCTTGAAAAACATGACAGATGAGAACACAGCAACAAAATTATTCTAGGTACAGAACTTGTAGCAAATCAACTTTATCTGAACTAGAACTGGTGCAACTGGAGTTACTCCTGCCTTCCTGTAGGTTGAACAAGAAGCATTTGGATGATACTCTCAAGCACTTGGTGTGAGTCTTGGGGACGGTCCTGTGCAGGGTTGTCTAAGGGTTGGACTTAATGATCCTTGTGGGTCCCTTCCAACTTAGCATATTCTGTGATTCTTTTAACACTGGAGACATCCCTAAGGCACTGATATGACTTTCCTTTAAACAATGAATACAATTTCAGTGAATGCAAGCTGGGAAAGATACCTAAAACTTGGCTGGAAACTAAGAGATTGAATATATTAATTTGAGTACTGCCACAGGAACTGTTTCCCTAATTAAACATAACGGGGTCAAGATTTTACTGTGTGCTTCTGTATATTGAAAGCCATTCTATAAATAACACCATTCAAAGTAAGCATACTCATACACATCAATAAAAACCACAGACAAGCCTCTTGTGACTTCGCTGATTGCTTAGGTCAGACAGGTAGAGGCCAGTCTTTATTCTGAGAGTGGAGGTAGGTTCAGAAAAATGTCAACATACATTATTGTAATCATCATGCATTATTGTACATCATCATGCATTATTGTACATCATCATGCATTATTGTAATCGATTTTAACAGCTTAGCTGAACAACAAAGTCTTGCAGACTGAAAAGATGGCAAAAGGTCCAGTAATGGTGGCAAAATGGTACTAGCTTGTCCGCAGAGACACATAGCAAGTCTCTGCCATCAAAGTATAACTGCAAAATTCACAAGAGTCAGTCTTGATGGTCTACCATAATCTTCATTAACTAGAAGTACTTTATAGTGATCTCCAAAAGCAATAATTTCTGATGTCAGAAATAGAAACTAAATTTTCTGAGATATGCTCCATGTCCGAGGAAATACCTGCTTTTTCAAGTATTTCCTCCCTAACTTCTTCACATTATCACAGGCAGTTTGTGAGGGAAGAAATTCATTTGTGAGAACCAAGTAAAAATTTTATCCTGGTAGGTCAGGATAAAGTATAATTCCAACCCATACAGACTCTAGCCTTGGAATAATATTTGAAAAGCTTTAAAGAGGCTTGGATTTCACTCAGAGTTTTGTTGAATGAATTTATATTGTGATTGCAGGGTCTCCATAGAGGCTCTGGCTTCCTGGCTTTACCAGTTGAAAAAATTGCACTGATAATCTGAAAGAAAACAACTGTTTCTTCCACCATCCATCACAATCTGTTCAGCATGGAGTACCTAGGATTCCTACACTTTACTCTGAGAAGTTCAAAAACCACTCATCTTCCCTCAAGCTGGTCTATCCTTTATCTGACTACTTTGACTGTTCAATGATTTACAGTGTTGACATTGCACTTTCTCTAGAAGTTGTTTCCATCTCATTTCTAAAGCAGGATGTTCCTATTTTTAAAAATATATTTAAAACCCCCAATAACAAAAAACAACCCAGAGCTTTTTTCTATACACTGAAAAATATCTGTCCATCATCACGATAACCACCTTCAGATAGTGGGACAGGTTCCTGTCTGACGTTACTTTACATCACTCATGCAAACAACATGACCTTGACTCATTAGTGCAAATAACATATAATTTCCTTCATTAATCTGCATCATTTGTGTGGTTAAACCATCACATTCTCACTGTTGTTGACTCTGAATATGGTGTTCTTATACTATTGCTCGTGCGATTCAGTGTTGCTTCAGCTGTAAACACATATGCAGTTTATCTGTGAATTAACTCCTTCCGCCTTAGGCCAGTAACAGCCCAGTAATGCCAAATAAGTCTCAGAAATGTGCTAGACTTGAAGTTAGGCCTAATTTTCAAGGGTACAAGTCTTGGCACAAGAAAATTATTCTCATAGCTCTGCCAAACTCCTGGAGGATTGTTTATCCTAAATCTGATTGGTTTACTTCTCCACCTTTTTCTTTAATCTGTCCAGTTTCTCCTTAAACTTAAGATCACAGATGTCTTGTAATTCAGGCAGTGGGGCAAATATGCATAAAATGATGATGTGAGGAATCTGCTTCACAGCTAACACACTATGTCTGCTTTACAGTACATCTGAGAAACCTCATTTTCAGTCCATCCCAATAATGTGTCTGACTAAAAACACTTTTAAAAAAAATTAAAGGATGGCAAGAGATATATACATGTTCAGAGTGGTTTTTCTCAGCAACTAATCATGTTTATAAATCCTCTCAGAGGCCCATGACTGAACCCCAAGTGTACCAAGCAAAGCCAGCATAGTGGTGGAGTTGGTAGTGTTAACAGTTAGACTTCATGATTTTAAGGGTCTTTTCCAACTTAAATGATTTTATGATTCTATTATGTGTAAGTATCCTTTTTCTCCCTGAGGAACAGTGGAGTTCAGACAGAAAAGGGTATCACCAGTATGGCCCCAGCTATTCCCATGGAGTTCCCATTCACTGAAGGGTGAGCAGTGGGCATCCTGGCACAACTCTGCACACAGACAAAGATGGATCTCACCCATTATTCCCTGACCAGTCAATTTATTCTGCTCATAGAACCATTTAGAGAAGGCTGAGATAAACGGTTCTAAGTCAATTGCCAAAAACCTCTACACCGTTAGTATTTACAAAGTGCTTCTCCTGGGTACCATCTCAATTTAAATACTATTTGTTTCTTCAAGAAACACAAAGCTCTGAAAAAGAAGGTGAGAATAATCTCCATAAATACCAGCATGTGTAATTCTTCACCTTTTGAAACAACACTGAAAGGATACATTTTTAATGCTTTATTTTTATTTTGTCTCTATTGCTTTAATATTCCTAGAATCTTGGGTACAAATTTTTCCCTTTAAATGCTCATGTTTTTTCCCATTTGTCAAATATCGATTTACTTCCTACAACCTGTGCAGAGCTCTAATTTAACACACTTTAGTTTTGATCCCTTGTTTTCAACGAACTTCACAAATTCTACTGAGAAGTCAGAAAGACACTGGTTAACCAAGTAGCACAGAGCATGGAGAACCATTATTTGTGCAGATATCCTGTAAACAAAGTGGTTTTACATTTATTTTGACCAATAGCTGGCATCACAGGTAACAGTCTTAATTATCCTTATTTTTGAAGTAGTTATTTAGAATGCTGAAAGACAACAAAAAAAGAAATCATTTGGGACCTTTTCTACTCAGGAGTAGGAACTCATTAGAACGGCTTGATTCAATTACAGTAATTGAAACTCCTCCTTTATTTTTCTGTCATTTGAAAAAAAATACCACAAACCTCTGACTTGCTTTAAAGCTTTAGATTTTATCCCCAAGTGGTTGTGAAACAGCAAATTTGTTCGTATAACTTGAATGATTATCAGAGATATCAGTTCATGTTAAGAAGCTGGGAGGCTGTATACTCCTCATCATTGTTCCAGGGTGAAAAAACATAAGGATTTTGAATATTTAATAAGAAGAAAAAGTCTCCAGAAATTGCTCTTCAGTGGAACACATGCACCCAAGGCTAGTGAAAGCACTGAAAGTTTGAAGATGTAAAGCACTCATCTTAAAGCATATCAACATTTAGTAAACCATGATGATTTTTGAGTTGGCAAGGGCAAAAGGACAAAGCAAGAAAGCAGAGTGACTCTGGCCCCTCTCTCATCCTAAATAACATAGGGAGTGTCTGCCCATTCTCCTGGGAAGTCAGGGAAAAGCCACTTGTCCTTCATCAGCCAATATGACCAGCACCACAACCTTTACAAATGTTATTTTTTCCATTAAGCTCACCGTTTAACCACACCGCACAGAATCTTAATTTGCTTTGGCATCTTAGCCCATTGCAAAAGAAAAAAAAGGGAGGAGCAAGGAAAAGGTCTTCCACAGGCACATCACTGCACAAGAGGAACAGAAGCAACAGAGCCTGACTTTCCAAAGGGCTAAACTGCCTCTTGAAATTGGATGTAGCTACGTGGTACAGAAGCATATACCAGGAAAGCAGTACCGAGTAACTTACCAGGTTTAATTAATCGGTATTTAAGAATGCTTGATTCAAACAAAGCAGTAAGGTGGATTGATTATAAAGAGTGTCACAGTCAATTCGATGAAGATATTAATCTGAATAGGGAAATACGCAATAACAGATAATGCAAAACTAATGTCTTAACTGAGCAACTAAATTACTCAATGCAATTCAAGGCACACTGAGTACTTAAAGAGGTACCTCACCAGAGCTGACAGGGCTTCTTCATTTTTTTAGTAGAGCTGCAAAACATTTGAAAAGGAACAATCTCAGTCCTTATCATCTACATGCATCTGAAAGTTTTCTGAACCCCCTGCTGAGACCCATCTGTATCACAAATTTAAACACTCTGGTCCTTGACTGCCTTTGTCATTTTTAAAATAGGAGAAAGGTTCCTCAATCACTTAGACCTTTAGAAAATTAGGAGTTTTCACTACCACCACTACCATTCAAATAAAACATTTATTTTTATCATCCATTCAGTCTTAAAATGCTGCCTCTTTTTCTGCCTTGCAAACAATCTGAGGACCCAGGGATCACATCCAGCTCAGTCTTTCCCCCCGATTGCTCAAAACAAGAAATCAAATAGCTGTGTACATGCAAGTTCACAAGCTAAAAGCTATGCTGAGCTTTTAGAAGACAGTACTCTGGAATAATTCCACACCTCAATACTCATCCTGTACCAAGAGTACCAGTGCATGATATTAGCACAGGTTAGCTACAGCATCGTCAGTTCCTGTAGGCTTTTCTGGCTCTAGCCTCTTCAATTAGACAGGTCTTCTGGCTAGAGAAGCCCAAGGGTTTCCACAGTGTCTAAAAATCCATCCAACACTGGCTTGATTACTGATCCTGTCTGATTGCAGACAGTTATGGGTTCAGTGCAAGACACAATCTGATTACCTTGGAGCAATTTCTTAGACTGTCCCGAAATCATCATCAAGCATTTAAAAGGATTTCTCCCAGAATCAAACACAATGACAAAGGAAAGAGAAATACGAGAAGCATCCAAAGACAATCACAATCCTGCCTAAGTATCCTGTTCAGCAAAGAAATGAAATTCTAATGAAACTCTTCTCTCTTCTGTTTTATCAACACAGAGCTGCTAAAGGGAAAATAAAGAAATGAACTCATACATTTTAGGGCTTCAAAAACCAAAGCCAGGTAAAAAAGCAGGCTATATTAATGGAGACACTGACAACAGATATAGGCACCATGAGAGTTAGGGTTGTATCACATTTAAAAGCTGAGCTGAAACTTTTCTTCATCTGCTGTTCTGAAGCCATTCTGTAATTAAGCCCAAAGAGATGACAGACATTTATTGACAGTTAATGCAGTGCTCCTGCGATGTATTATTAGGCACAAGCCCAGAGGCACAAGGCCAAGTGCTGTTAATCTCCTAGTGAGTGCCGTAGTGTCTCAGATATGAAATCCCTGAAAATATCTGGTGATACTGCTAATGTTTTTTAAAAGGCAGAAGTCTTGAGTTTTCACAGAAACTGATACGCTGATTAACCCACCAAAATAAAAGTGTAATGGAAAAAGCCCTACAACAATTCACCCAATTTTTAACCCCATTTCCCCACATAAGGAGAGATGTAAAAAACCCCCCGAAACTACCCTCCTTTGCCTTACCTCATGCTTTACTTTGGCAGTGTCAAATCAGATCTTTCTTGCTTGGCTAAAAACCTTTCCAAAACAAGTGGAAACGTCTATCAGCTTTTACCCAGGAGAAAGGAATTGCTGAATATTCAATCATAGGTTTCCTTCCAACTGCTCTGCTTGTTTGTTTTAGGGAAGCCTTAAGAAGAGCAAATAAAAGAGGTTTGAAATCCTCTGAGCAAAGCTGACTTCTCTCTCTGAAGGTCACCCTCAAGTCATTTCAGAACCGTGAAAATAGCCAGAGGGGATAAGCAGACTCAAAAGACATCTTTTCTTCTGAAGTAACCTTGGTGACTCAGGTGCCCTCAGGTGGAGGTTTGGCACTTTTCATGGACCCAGCCAATTTTCCCCTGGGAAGAAAGATGTGGCAATAAGTTTTTCTTGCAAAAGTAACTCCAGCACAAGCACTTCAAAGAAAGGAGATCTCTCTCCCGAAAGACTCCATTAGAAGTGACCAGAGTCGCCAAAGGTCTTACTGACAAATATCTTCTTCCTTGGGACAAACCTTAAGCCCTGTTTTCAGGACTAGTGCCGAAGCTGGAATACTAAAACCATACAGTGTAGATCTGAATCAAGACAGTCCCTTCACATTCCTTCACTTAAGGTCTGATCATACCAATAATATGCACTCAAATTGATGGTAATGCATTTAGCAAACACTTAACTATGACTGCTATGCTTATTCAGAGCAAATTTTGCTTAGTATTCAAACTGAAATTCATAATCACGTTAGCTAAACATATTTTTAGTAGATGTTGCAACCTGACCAGAGACTTAATTTTGTGTAAACCTTGAGAAAGACTCGGCAAGCCAGTGGGAGCTTTGCCTAAGCAAAAACTACAGGATTTAGGGCTCCCGTGCAGTTCCATGCCCGGGCACACCACCGTCATTCCAGTGACAGCTCCGCACACCTTGCTTCTGTAACTAAATGGAATCGACACCCCAAAACCCGAAGAAAGCAAGCGCACAAAGAAACGCTCCCGGGCAGCCCGGGCAGGGGCAGAGGCCGCGCCCCCGCTACAGCTCCCGGCGACCCCCGCCCCCAGCGCGGCCCCGTTACCTTCGCCGCCGCCCGCGGGGTGCAGTGCCCGGGTAGGGCCGGCCGGCGCTCGGCACCGCCCGCAGCCCAGGGCTGACACCCGGGACTGACACCCGGGCTGACTCCAGCTCCCCCTGGGTCAGGGCAGGCGAGGGCCCGGCGGGAGGGAAGGGGCGGGGCGGCCGCGCTTCGTCCCGGCTCTGGCAGCGCCCTCGCCCCACGCACGACCCGGGTCGCGGAGCGGACCCGGCAAGTTGGCGGGCAGTGCCGCCGGCCAGCGGCGAAGTTGCTGCCACCCAGCACCAGCCCCTCGCCCACTGGGTAGCCCCCGCCCGCCCGCAGCCCCTCTCACCTCAGGCACTGCCTCCTCCCCGCCGGGACCAGGGACGCTGCCGGCTGCTCCCCGCTCCATCGCCGCGCCCCGCTCCCGGCTCCCCAGGGCGCCAGATCTGGCTCAGCGCGGCCCCGCTCGCCGCCGCCGCAGCCCCAGCGCCGGCCGCGGAGCGCCGCCTGCCGCCGGGGGCACGGCCCCCTCCCTCCCGCCCCCCGCCAGCCCCGGGCCAGGGGAGCGCCGGGGGCGGCCTGGCCTCAGCGCACCCCGCGGGGCACCGTCCTCGCCGGGCAGCGGCGTTAATATTGTCACTAATGTACTTCACCAGCACCCCCTCCCTCCCCTCCTCGGGGCAACGCGGACCCCGCCGCCCGGGCAGCGGGCGCGAGTTGCCCAAAAACTCAGAGCGAGCCCGAACGCGACGCGCTTTCAGGAGGCGAACGCACTCTCCCGGGCGCCGGACCTGTGCTGGCCGTGCCGCGGGCCCCGGGTGAGTTTCCCCGCTCCCAGCCCGCGGGTGGGCTCTGTGTCCCCGGCAGGTGAGTGCTGCCAGCGAGCCCGCGGTGCGTGCGAGGCGCTTCCCGAGGTGGGGAGAGCCGGTTCCCCGAGTTTCTGTCCAATTCCGGCGCAGCCGCTGCCCGTCGGGGAGGCGGGGGCGGGAGCGGTGCCGGCAGCCCGCGCCGCGCAGGGTTGGTGCCCAGGGAAGAGCAGGATTTGGCATCGACCCTGTCCCGAGCGCCGATGGAGTCCGCTTGTGCCGAAGCCTGCCAGGACCCCTCGGTGGGCAAAGTGGGGAGCGACGTTCACAGACGTTTGGCCACAGACATTTCCCCACTTCACGTGTCCGACCTGCGGGCAGGCGCCTGCGGAAATGTTAAGCCTTTGGATGCTGGTGTGCGTGCGAGTTCTGCCCGCCTGTACACCGCTTGTACACCGCCGCAGGATGCCGCTCCACCGGGCAAACAGAAAAACATACCACACTTGTAACTTTTAGGGTTTCAGTAACGAGGATGCTCTCCCCCGTCCTCCCCGCCCCCATCGGTAGCAAGTTATAACCTATTTGTAAGGACTGAATTAAATTTCCTGAGGTGCCTCCTTTATCGCCTGCCAGTTTCTGCCTCTGTATCTAGTACCTGCCTCCGAATTTTTGTCAGTCTTTATAAATTTTATTTTATTTAGTGTGGATTCTGGCATTCATTCATTAATTTATTTTTTTTTAACATTTCCTTTCCTCCCCCTTTGGAAAAATTCTGGCTAGTTCTGGCATCTATCAGGATTTTTGCCTCTTAATACCAAAGCAAAGATTACATGTGTATTAATTAGTTTCTTTTCTCAGTTAGTGAGTCGGCTGCAAGAATTTGCCAGGTCAAACTTGATAAAAACTACCAGTCCCAGGCAGCCACTTGTCTCTGCAAGGAGCCAGTTCTCAGAGAAAGCAGGACATAGTTGTGTTAATACTATCTACAGATAGTATCTGCTATTAAGGAGGTTCTCTTTGTACATATATATGCATTTCAGGGGTTTTACTGATTATAACTTACATTCACTACAAAATCTATCAAGTTTCAAGGGAACAATTCATTGCTCCTGAGCTATTTGGTTTTCAAGTTAGCAGTGAAGAAGTAATTGACAATTTAAATATATTGCCTTCTAATTTAATTTCATATTTTGTTGTTCTTGCATTATGAAAAGACAAAAAAACAGGACCACCCATTCAACCTTGCTCATGTCCTTCTCAGCTCCATCTTGGCTCTGCTTCTTGCATACTCTCTATGAGTCAATCCTCTCTGCTCTCCCACTAAAGTCTGGGAGTCAGACAGGCATCACAATATCTGACCTTGTTTGCATCAATATTAAAAACTATTTGAAACAACTTGCCTTTCTCATACAGCAACATTTTTTTATTTTAATTTGTTTGCTGCTTGATAGCACACATAGGCTATAACATATTTTCACTGGTATGAGATTTTCATACATTTAGTTTTCAGTGCCAGTTCTATTTATCCATTTAGCTTCACCTCCATAATGCTTGTATTTCCTCAAAATAATCTATGTTAAAATATACTGATATATTTATATATATTTTTAGTTCCTCCCCTCCCCCTCCCCCCCCCAGCTCCTAATAAGTAATTTGGCAAGGCTAGGGACATTAGGAACCCACTTCTATTCACAAACTGATGTGGTATTATTATCTTCAGTAGTTACCTTTCAGTTTGCACTGGAGGTTAGTTGTACATCCCCAGAAGTGAATAGTGAGCATGACTGCACAGGTGTAATTCCAAAGTATTAAACAGTATTCCCCCTGCCCCTGGTTCCACTAAGTTGCAAATTCTTTACTAGATGCAATACTTCTGAGTCTAGTTAAGAGTAATATTGAAGATCAATAGCAGAATGTCATGTATGGGGTCCATGCCACTTACCATTAAAAATAATACAATTCCAGTTTTCTAAAGAGATGGAGAAAAGGTTTCATGGACCAGTTAACTGGTTTGGACAGGATCAAAATGGCACAGTCTTGGCAGAACTGATGTTGAAAGCTGGATCTCTGAGTCCAGCCTTCTTGACACAGTGCTGTTGCTTTTGTGCTGCTTTGTGCTCCCGTTCCTTGAAGGCCATCTCATGTGTGCCATTCATGCAGCACACACGGCTGCAGCAGGTGAAGCTACAGGCACTTTTCCAATTAATTCTGAAGACTCTAGCAGCAGAATTGGGCTACAAAAGGTAAATTGGCAGTTTT